AGAAACTATTTTCATCTTCATTCACGATGACCTTGAAAGAGTGGGTCTTCAACGAAATGTTTTTACTTTCTTCTAATAATCTTTTGCTCTTTCTTTAATATTAAACACAAATGCTTTAAGCTTCATAATAAGTCAACTTTACAAATAAATCTGAAATAAAAAAGTATTTAAGATATACAACTAGGTTTTCAATTACCTAGAGATATAACTCAATACTTTGTTAGTATAATCTTAATTAAGTCACTTTGAAAATCCAACTGATGATTATATAACTATTAACATAATAAAACTATATTATAAAAATAGATTGTTTCAAATAACTCTAGGTCATTTAGTTAATGATATCAGACATATGACATTATGACTTTTTGAATGGATTGACTCCGCTTAGAACACGAGAGTTCTATTGAACACACCCTTTCACTATTACGGAAAAGACATTTAACAACGGTTGGAAAAGATATATAACCACACGGGATCGGGTATTGTTATGTAGCATGTGATTGTATATGCAGTACTTACAATCAAGTTCCAGTGACTATTGTAGTAAACTGGAAAGTGCACGCCTTATAACATCGATTATTCCTATTAACCGTTGTGATATTGTATTTGAATAAATGTAAAATTTTCATATCAAAATCATCACTAAATATATTTTGAATTTATATCAAAACTTGTATTACAAGTACACAATTCCATTAAGTACATCAAAATTTGGACAACTCGAGGTATGTAATCTTCCCAACTTCCAAGAGAAAAGATAGAGTATAGAATTAAAGAAACAATGATGAGTTTGGTTTTTAAGCTTCCAAGAGAAGAAGATGAAGAATTAGAAGGAACAATATAAAAGCAAAAGAACCAAAACACAAAAACAAATCCATCCAAAGCAATCAACATATGTTATCCTGCTCAAGCTACCAATAATGTTGAGAATCAAAATATTGTTGTAGAGGGTGTTGTGGTGCAAAACCAGCCTCATAATCAAGATGTAGCTGTAAAGGGTATTTTGATGCAAAACCATCCTTAGATTCAAGATGTTGTTGTAGAGGATGTTGTGTTTAGACTAATGAGAACTCTCAGGGTGAGGAGAAGAAGAAGAAGAAGAAGAAGAAGGTTTAGATGTCAAATGATGATTTTTTTTAATTCTGATGACGATGATGATGATGATGAGGATGACTATGATTGGTCTAACTTTATCTCAGCGAGAGGATTTAGATTTGATTATGGTTTTTGATCATGTAATAAAAATTTTATGTAATGAATTTTTAATTTGCTTAACTCTCTTAAGGTTATCAACTTAAACATTCAACTTAAACTATTAACTTAACCTATCAGCTTAAACTACAAAATATATAAAACACATAATTCTAACTGAAAATTCAACAATTTGTGATGAAATTACTCGTAAGAAACCGTCGGTTAGTTTCATATTCCTGTCAAGTTTGCTGCATCTTCAACTATTACATTTCATAGCAAAGTAAATATTAAACATAAAGGATATAAGAAAACATAACATTTTCAAATTTCAAACTCTAGTTCAACTATTACATTTTATAACAAAGTAAATATTAAACATAAAGGAGATAAGAAAACATAACATTTTCAAATTTTCAGAAAATCTCTCTGACTTCAGTTTGTTCTTCTTTTTTGAATTTGTATACATAACCTTCAATATCCAACAGATTCCAACTTTGACATCATATTACTCTCATCTTCCAATTTTTATTCATAATCCCATATGAACAAATTACATGTTTCACCACTCCATCAATTTGGACATCTCCAAAAAATCCTTCTTTTATTTTGACCTCTCTTGCATTGGTACGAAACCATACGACTGTCACAGCCACATAAATTTCCAGATCGATATTTTACACCTTTGGATGAATTACTCTTCAAATGCGACATTGAGACGAAACTGAACAACAACGAGTGTGGTGTTATGTTTGTTTTCTTCTTCCCGACGATGTCAACGGTGTTGGTGTTAGGGTTGTTTCTTTTATCAGTGAAAGAATGTGTATTTAGTGTTGAATATATATAAAGAATCACCAGTGTGTAATAGGGATGTCAGTTTGGACCTGTTAATGAGGATCCCCGCGGGGAACGCCCCGTTCGGGGCCCCAAAGATGGGGAATTTTCCCCCGTGGGGGCGGGGATGGGGAGAAAAATTCCCCCGAGAGCATTTCGGGGACGGGGACGGGGAATACACCCCCCGCCCCGCGGGGACCCCGCCCCGCGGGGACCCCGCCCCGCGGGGACCCCGCCCCGCCTATTATTTTAATATAGTTAATTTAATATATATATTTTAGATTAGGTTTTTTAGTCATTTCCATTAGTATTTTTATAAAAAAAAATATTATTATTTTGTGTTCCATTAGTATTTTTAATAAAAAATAATAAATGTCAAATACTAGTATTTTTTAATAACATAATAAATATGTGAATTCTTTGTGCTTTTTATTTTTATAGAAAATATAAACATTTTAAAAAAATAAAATATTAATGAATAAATGTAGGATCTATGGGGATCTCCGCGGGGAACGGGGATCCGCGGGGAACGGGGATGGGGATAAAAATTCCCCCGTGACGGAGATCGGGGACGGGGACGGGGAATGAATTTGATGGCGGGGAAAAAGATGGGGAAGTGTCCCCCCGGCCCCGCCCCGCCCCATTGACATCCCTAGTGTGTAACAACGGTTGTACAAAAGAGTCGTAGTGATATCCCTATTATTTTTTAATTATATATAAATATAATTGAAAAGACGTGCATTAACGTAAAAAGAATAAACTATTTGAGGGAGCTGAGTATCGAACCCAGAAAAGTTGGATTGTATCACCACGGTTAGGGAATTAACCGTAATTATAACCTTAAAATTTCCAATAAAAAATTTTCAAAAAAATGTTAGCGCATTAGTTTAGCGGTGTCACTACGGTTTTGGGGCGAACCATGGTGACTTTGGCGTTGTTGTATGCGCGATTTGTAGTAGTGTTTAGCATTCTACTCATATCCCTCAATTTTTTAAGTTGCAAGATGTGATCAAAAGATTGGCTCTGAGGCTAACTGTTGGTGGAGAATATGGGAATCAAATAGTTTAGAAGGGGTCGTTCCTCTAAAACCAAAAATTTTAATAATATTTTCTTTTACAAAATGATGCTTAGATAACAAAAGGAAGCGGAAATATAATGAAGGTTTTGAAAAAGATACATCTCAAAGTCTATCATAATTACAAGAGATGGTCGAAAATATAACCACAATCGAGATATATGAAATCCCTTTGACAAGCAATACCACAATTTACATAATTCAATTTTCAAATGTGGCTCAAATTGAATTCTGATAAATTGATTGTTCAATCTAAATTTAAAAGTATTTACAATTATAATCGTAAAATAGAATATTCAATGGACTAGATTTATCACAAACCTATGCTTATACAATAAATCATTATAAGCATGGTAAATTCTAATAACATGATATTCTAAAAATGGCAAACAACTTAAGACATGTAATACTATGCAGAAATGTAAAAGAGATAAGGAGGAGACGAATGTACACGTCAATATATATAGTGGTTCAACTCATTCGTCTTTGCTAGAGCTTAGTCCACTATTAAATGATTTCACCATTAAAAATTTGTAGGATTTTCCCCTATTTTATAAAATTAAATACAAGAGTACTTTTGGTACAACGTTGTACACTACAAGCTAATTGCTTTAGCCAACACATGTCTAATTGATTTTCCCATCTATTGTAGGAAAATACTGAAATTGTAAATCTTTTAAGATCTTCACTAATTTTGATCCAAAAATATTGCTAGACACAAGTATCCTACTCCAAGCTTCTGCTCTGCAACGATCTTTACTCAATCTTACAAGTTCCTTGTTAGAGTCTTTGTTCTACCTAAGAATAATTGGAAAACTCCCAACTTTGTTTTGCAGCAATCTTTACATAGTTCTACCAAAATTTTCAATGGAGTCTAGAGAATATTTGTTCTCTTTGTTGGATGTTAATCTCTAGATATCATAGACACAGAGCGATTCTTTATTCTAACATATAATAAAACTTCATATAATAAAACTTCACCAAAAAAATATCACCTTATCTAATATACCTTTGAACTACTACTCAAACTCAATCTGTAGAGTTGAGCACCACAATAACGGTTTCTTAGTTTAAGGGTGAAGATAGATCTCACAAAAGCAACATTCTAAGAAGTTTTTCACAAAATTGAAATAAGGAGATAATGTATTAGTGAAAGGAAAAACTTTCATTGATTTTTCTCAAAGATTTATGAAAAATATGAATTTGATCTTATTTGGTGAATTTTTCATCATCTTTCATAACTTTGGTTTTTTTTTTTCACACTTCAAAAAATTCACAGAAATTATTTATACAGAGGTTAAGCACAAAAAGATATTATGATTTGAATCAGGAAAAAAATTATTTAAGTCAAAGTAATAAAATGAGAAAATTATCATTTTGATTTGAATCATAATTTGCCCTCATGATTCGTCATACATATCCTTGATTCTAATCAATTTTAGATGGATAGAATCCAAATTCTAAATATACCTGATGCATGGAAGCTGAGTCATAGTTGCACTTATACACGTTTGATTTTACAAAACTAAATAGTTGATCTCGACAAAACAAAATTCACATGAGATTATTCTTTCATTGATTCACCAATCACTATCAGGCACAACTTAAATTTATTATTTTTATACACGGGTATCATCATAAGAAAATTTATGTAAAAAAAACATATATTCATATGATGACTTATATTTATATAGAGGATATATTGTAACATACTTTTTTATTTAGAAATATAATCCAGGTACAAAACCCACATGCGAATAATAAATGAACGAAGAAACTATACGATCAAGCAACATAAGACGTTTATTGTATCGCTTTCATAACAAAAGCTCAAATTTATTTAGGTAATAACACCGAAAACAGACAATAACAGAACATAAAAACTAAGACCAGAGTACTATGTCTCCTTCACCTCTTCCTCCTCGCTCTCATCCTCACTCCAGCAACATTTCAGAGTAGACTTTGGAGATGTGCAGCCATCATTTCGAACAAAGGAACGGTAAACAACAGCACCACCTTCTCCAACAACTTCACTGCTCCTCTCTCCACAGTAGTATCCTTTCACGTCTAGAGCAAATTGGTTAAGTTTTTCACCATTCATATCAATGTGCAAAGCAATAGAAAACTCAGCTGGATGGAAACATGCTAAAACCCTTTCAACAACTTCATTCAGAGATTTCTCTTCATACTCATAACCCACTGCTTCAAAGCTTGCATAACTGAATCCATCTTCAGGGGTGACATGGATAGTTGAGATTGCATTTCCTTCAATTCCATTCATTGAATACCCACATGGATCAAATTCAAAGTCACATATGTCAGAATTTGGAAGGATCTTCCTGATTCCAGAATTCCTAGTCATCAAAGCAGCTGAAGATGTGCTTGTCTTGAAAAACACAGATGCCTTTTCTTTATCTAAACCAGTCATGCACATTTCAAGCCCATAGACAGCTTCCGGTGAAGTTTCTGTCTTAGCACTGGCAGAGTAAATGTGCCAAATTTGGGACTTATCAGCATCACCCATCATGTAAGCATTGCTACCAGAACCAAGTTTACCAAAATAGCTATCAAGAACAGCAAGTTCCTCAGAAAAGCTTCGATGAGGGAATGATTGAGCTCCCGGAAAAATGAAGCTTCCACGAGTGTATCTCACTGATTTCACAGCAATGTTAAGACCATCTGCAAGCTTAAGAATTGCAGGGATAGACAGAAGCAACTTTGTAGTCCCACAGGTTTTGATGATAAGTTTGTACGCATAAACAAACAAGCTTGACTCAGAAAGAACATATGAATCAACATAATCATTAGATAGTGAGTCAACAATAGTACACTCTGCAGGGTTCAGAATTTCATCCAATTGGTCTTTAGACAATGCACGGAGACCTAATCCAGAAGGATCACAGAAAACACTACTCTCAAAAAAAGTCATCTCAAGCCTCTTTTCATAGCCTTCAAAACCAATAGCTGAGTTTGTCATGGCCATCTTGACTCAGGAGAAAAAAAATTATAATTCTTGTTGTTTGTAGAGAAAAGCAGCTAGGAGGAGGAGGAAAAGGAGAGGAGAAGAGGAAAGTAGAATAATTTGCAGTATGAAAGATTAATAAAAAAGCTAAATCTAACAGAAGCCAGAAAATCTCAGGAGGGTTTGCGGGTGCAGTTAGAGTAATCAGGAGATTTGAATTTTTCTACTCCACCGTTAGGTCGAACGTCTTCAATGATGTAATCGAGAGGAGCTTCGTATAAAGAGGATTTACTACTACTACTACTAGACTTCTTCTTACCGCCTCTAGACTCCATTACTTCATTCACGCCTTTCTGAAAGAAAGAAAACCGCATAGAGCAAAAAAAAATCAACAACAAAATAGGCCATTAATCGCATACAAACAAAAATCATGAACAAAACGGAAACGAAAATGGTTTATTTATTATCAATCTCTGGTTCAATTCATTCAAAAATATTCATAGTTCTGCGTCCAAAAACATAATCAAAATAAATGAAAATGGTAATAAAAGGTTGAAACTCACTGTTGTATAACAATTGGAGATCGATCTGTTTTTCGATTTTCCCCTATGTGAATCAAGATTTGAGATTAAATGACCTAAATCGAACAGAATCAGAACCAAAATCAAAATCAAAATCAGAAAAAAAAATCATGAAACATTGAAATCGTTAATCAAATAATAGAAAAAAAAATACAGAAGATAATTATAATGCCCTTACAGAGAATGAATGGAAAAAATTGAGGAGAAGAAGAGAATGCAGAAGAAAAAAAAATGAAACAGAGCAACGGCAAGACTGAGGAGAGGAAATTAGGTTTAGAAAATGGAAATTGGAATTGAAATTGGTTTGAGATTTATTGAAGAGAGGTGAGGTTTATATAGAGGCTGGGGTGAACGTTCAATTACAATAATACCCTGCTGGCTTTTGCTATTTTCTTATTTCATGTTTTCGCCGTGTCCCTTTTCTTCGCCACATACAGTTTGTCTTTTAAATTTGGTATAGAATTTTTTTTATAGAGCATATAATCATTTCTTAAAGCCACTTTATTATAAAAATAAAAATATAATACATTTATTGAAACTTAAATATTATCATCACCTTATTTATTTTATTAATTCTAAATACTAAAGATATATTGACTTGACTTTTAAATAAAACACATAAGGTAAGTAAAGAGATATTTATTATTATTATTAAATCAACTTTAATTAATATTGTATTGCAGATAAAATTAATAATTAATATTATAAGGTACTTTCGAATAAAATAATCATAAAGATTAATTCGCTTCTTTTTTTAATATGATTTACTTTTAAAATACTATCTTGTGTTTTTTTTAATGAAAATCTAATTGAATTTTTTAATATAGTATTTTTTTAAATGATTAATTATATTCAAAATGAAATTGATGTAAATATATTTTTATAATTAAAATAGTATCATTAAATTAATTATTTTATTTATTAATATAAAATTTATTTTAGATAAAGAAAATATAATTTAAATATTGGTGCTGTGAATTCAAATTTGAGTTACCAAAATTTTTATCTCCATGAATTTTTATTTTATTTTATTTAAAAAAAAAAGACTATATATTGAAAAAGAAAAGGAATACAAAAGTGGGAGATTAGGCCAAAAATTAGATTAAAATGATGAAAATCTAGAAAAAGTCTATTGAGTCTATTCTTTACAAAATCAATCCTCGTGTCCAAAGAGATGTCATCAAAAAAGGTTAAGGAAGTAGTTGTAAGACTATCTACAATGACAAAATTATTCGACACTGTTTTTCTTATTTTTTTACATTCCACATCATTTTCTCTCTCTTTCACCTGTTTAATAAAATTCAACACCTTACTTCACCACTTTTATTTTATATTTTTATTTTCTTTTTTATGTTTTTGTTTTTTTTTATTATAAGAGGGTTATTGTAGTGATTCATTTCACTAAAAAATTGTTTAGAGCTACGAACAATAATTTATTAGAGGCTAAATAGAAAAATTAGAGAGAAAAAATAGATTTTTTTCTTTGTCCAAATCAAATGAACCAAAGCTCTATTTATAGACAAAAAAAATGATGAATTTTGGTGAAAATAAAAATAAATAAAAAGTTGATTTTCTATAAAATAATTGACTCCAAATGATTTAGATGAGATAAAAATATAAACAATCACTATAACCAATTATATTTTGCAAAGTATTATAAGTGGCCCCCACTCATTTCTCATTCAACATGTTGAATGTTTTCAACACAAATTAATCCATGTCACATTCAACACCTTATTCAACAATCCATTGAAGCAATTCAACTATTGAAAAATTTATTCAACACCCCCATTGCAAGTAGTCTAAGGTCATAGCTAGCAAAAAAGTCAGCATAATTATTTTCTTTTTTGTATATATGGGTTAGGACAATAGACATATGTATAGTGATATCCAAAAAAGATTTCCAAAGCTTAGGAAGTTGCCAAGGGACAATTGATGGATTGGTGAGAGCTTGAACAACCAATGTTGAGTCTGATTCGATATAAAGTTTGGACCAACCCTTATTCTTTGCAACGGGGATAACTCTAATGACGCCACTCAACTCAGCATGAAAAGAAGAAGGAAGATTGAGACTCTCGGCAAAAGCAAACAAAAAGTCACTAAAGTTGTTCCTGAAAATTCCACCGCAAGCGGCTTTAAAGGTGGATGATCAAAAGCACCATCACTGTTACATTTGATCTAGTCTCGAATGGGAGGTTTCCAAAGCACCCCCTTGATCGCCGGAGCCGGAGGAGGATTAACAGTAACTTTGAAAGCTTTGAGGATGGAGAAATCATGGATGAAGGAATTAGTAGTAAGCTTAGGGGCTATTACTAGTAGCAACTATTTGAGATTGAGTGTTAGATATATAGTAGCATGGATATGAGGAGCAGCATGATGAAAAAGGTACATGTTTATGATATTCCAAATGTTCCAAACAATATAAATGACAAATGCTCTAAAAACTACAGAGCATTGCTTTGAATTACCGTATCGCCATAAGTGAAGGATCTCTTCGAATGAGCTAGCCATTCTTTAATTACAATTATTAATTTATAAATATTAATAATTTGTTTACAAATTAATTTTTAAAAAAACTTGTTTGTATTAATATATTATCAAAACATATAAAGAAATATTATTGTTAAAAATTGAATCATTTTACCAATAGCTCGCACCCATATATTAGTGTATATTATTATTATATAAATGAAGTCTATTTTTTTATACTTATTATAATTCATATTGTATGTGATATGAAAACTTTTAATTCAAGCTTAGGAAAGCTATAAGTGATATGATATATCATTTTCCTCCTTATCGTTCTTTGTAGGCTCTATATTAATATAACAATACATAGACCCCTTAAAAATTAGGGTTTTGAAAAAGCGAAGTGATTTAGTTTTTTTATTTTTTATTGGAAATCGTTCAAGAGCAATTTAGACGAGATTTAAGTTGAGTTTTTTTGGCGATATTTTAGTTGAGCCTCTCATGCGAGACTTAAGTTAAGCCATGTGGAGAGACTTAGGGTCTGTTTGTTTTAACTTTTTTTTAAATGATATTTATAGTGTAATATAATTTGATGTAAAAAAAATTATAAAGAAACTTTTCATAAAACTTTAAATAAAAAATTGGTTTGAATAGTTATTCTTAAAATATTATTTTATCATTTTATTGAAAAAAATTTGGATATCAAAATTTCAAAAAAAATCCCTTAATTTTGAAGCTATTTCAAATAGGTTTTCATAAAAATCATTTTTGAAATACAACTTTTTAAAAAAAATTGAAATTTCAACTATGTTTTAATCTTCAATAATTTATGTTTATGTTATAAGAAGTCAAAATTAGTCTTTCAATTTAGAAAAAACTAATATAAAAAAACTTGTAGTATTTTAAAAAATGGTTTCGCAAAATCCATTTTTGAAAATACAAAGAAAAAATTCATTTTTTAAACCTAAAACAAACAGACCCTTAAGTTGAGCCCATCAAGCGAGACCTAACTTAAGTCCCTCTACTTTAGTTGAGTCACTTAGGCGAGATTTTAGTTGAGTTCATTTGGCGAGACTTAAGTTTAGTCCCTTTGTCGAGACTTTAGTTAAGTCCCTCAAGTGAGATTTAAGTTGAGTCTCTCTAGCGAGACTTTAGTTGAGTGGCCTACATGGGGTTGTTTCACAAAAATAGTGTTTATATTTCCCCGGGGAGACAATGATCTTCATGTGGAAGTCCAACAATTGTATTGCTCTTTTTAATGCGGCAAGGATGTTCCTGTAGAAGTCTAATAATTATATTGCCCTTTTTAAGGCAACAAGGATCTTCCTGTAGAAATTCAACAATTATATTATTCTTTTAAGGCGGCAAGGATCTTTCTATTGAAGTCCAACATTTAGGTGGATTGTAAAACCAAATAACCCTACTACAAATAACAATAAAGGATTTTCAAAGAGATTCATACGTTGTTAGGAAAATCGCCTTTTTGACAATCAAATATAATAATATATTAGGTTAATAGAGTTCCAAGTTCTAAGAATGTGTCTTCCTTCTAACTCCTTGATCTTATAGACTCCATGAGGTCATTTATGGTATATGTGATATGGTCTTTTCTATTTGGGTTGTAGTTCCCCTCTTGGACGGGCGTGACAACTTGTTTCAGCACCAAGTCACCTGCATGCATTTCCCTTTGAACTACTTTAGAATTGTATCTTCTGGAATCCCTTTGTTTGGCGGTGAATGTAACACCCTTCTAACCCAACATATAAATCATGAATTATAATAAATAATTTAAACTCAAATCATCAACAAGGGTGTCACATCTTCATAGAAAATACCATATACAAACATCTTACTCTATAACACGGGTTTTCAACAATTATAAATAAATTTCATTTTTCTAAATATCAACACATAAAATCATTTACTATGCAGCGAAACATTAGTCTCAACACAATTTCATTAAAAGTCCTTTTAAAGGAACATCATCATATTCATCATTCATGAATCATAACTTAAAACAACTTAACAGTGTTAAAACAACTTATAGGTTATGTCAACAAAAAGAACATATAGTTCAATTCAAACGATCTCAATCCTTGATGTTACATATCAAAGCAAAACCCTTCTTATTCAACGGAAATAAACAACACACTTTGAAGCTATCCTCTAAGCTTCTATGAACTACTCCTGATCCCCCGCGCGTTATCCACGTAGAGGCAACATTCAAACAAAAAGGACGAGTAATCACAGATCATTACAAGAGATATAAGGAATAAATATAGAAGTTACAACAACATAATCATGAATTCCATATATCATCCCAAACATCACTTAAGTCACAACATCATCACATCATTATTTAAATAAAAAATTATGTAATGTCACATAAAACGCAATGTATCAATATAGACTCATGCATGTGGTACCAAAATCTTTTGATAGGCACTGGGCCATCACCCTCCAAAGATCCTCACCATAGGATCGATTCTCTCTTGGAACTAGAGCACAACATAATAACACACTCAATTCACACAATGAGATTAAGGCCAACACTGGACCATCATCCTAAACAACATGGGCGGACCAACGTCCAAACATATGTTATGAATGCATGATGCACAATCAAAATAATATTTGTGACCACGACTAGTCAAGTGCATCATCATTCAGGTAATCATCATATAACAAGTCATCATCTCATACATCATTATACAATATACAGCATACTCACAACAATCAACATACCATATAATCATACACCATATTTTATAAGCATATACTCATATATATTCATCATAACCTAATCATGGGGAATATATCATATTATTCATTTTATTCTACACAAAGTAACAAAGAAAACCAAATATGTCAGTTGCCTGTCGTCTGAGGCTCACTCGACGAAGTTGTCTGCTCGCTTGAGGCACGTCCGGCGACGCTGGGGTGACATGCTTTCTCCCATATATTTTTCCACTAGCACCTCTTTTCCACCCTTTCATTCACCTCTTATATCGCCCGACGAAGCTAGAGCTCGTCAACTCTTAGCCAGCCGAAGCTGGAGCGAAACTCCTCCTCCCATACATTTTCCAGGATGTTGTGCCCCAAAATTTTCCCTCTCATGTTTTCCAAGATTTTTTCTTATATGGGTGGTCACAAGCATTTGATTAAAGGAAAAATAAAATTTTTGAACAAGGAGTCTTCGATTGGCATCTTAGCTAAGTCTTTCGATTGGCATCTTAGCTAAGTCTTTCGATTGGTATTTGGACAGGCTTCGATTGAGCGCCTAACCTCCTCCAAGCTTGCCTCAAATTTACAAGCTTCGATTGAAGCCTTGGCCTTCTGCTTGTTTGATGTATACAAGCTTCGACTGGGCATGTGTTTCCTTTGAAACAACCTCCTTCGATCCAAAGGGGAAGGGCCTCTTGTTAGTGCTCATTCGATTGCACCTTTGGCTTTGCATGCTAGTTTGACTCACAAATGCAATGGCTACCTGCATGCAGGTTGGATTCCTGCCTCGTTTGGGAATTTGGTCTCTTCAGAGAATGCTTAATTCCTACTTCGACTAGGCAAATAATCCCTCTTCAGCCTGCCTTCAGCGTACAAGGCAAAAGGCTTCTTTCTACTTGCCTTTGATGCACAAGGCAAGAACCCCCTACAAGCGTGTTTTGATTCATCAGGACAAAAGCACCTTCACGCCTGCCTTGGATTCACTAAGACAAAGACTTTTTCTGTGCTTGCCTTCAATGCACAAGGCCAAGACTCCTCAGCTCAGTTTCTGCACTATAGCACAATATGGCCCCTTCGAAAGAGCATTCCAAAGGTCCAGTCAAAGGACATGCATTAGAGAGTCATTCAAAGAAAGCATAAAGGAGTTCACGTAGGCTATTCAAAGGACACACAAATGGTGCCTTCGAAGGGGCATGCATTTGGTCCAGTCGAAAGGCACATAATGGTTGAAGGCAAGTGTTGTTTTGTCTTTTGATGCATGTGGCCAAAGTCCTGCATGCTGCCTAGCCCAAGCCTCATACACCATTACATTCATGACAAAGGAGGCTTCAATTGGCCAGAATGAAGTCCTCACTTGGGCTATTGGAATCAAGCAACTAAGGTAAATAGATGGGTCCAATGAAGGAACCATTTGAAAGACACTCAAGAAGTCCATTTGAGGAGGCAACCAAAGGCCCATTCGAAGAGGACGCAAATGGTCTATCCAAAAGACCCTTCAAAGGAGGCAACCAAATGCCCATTCAAAGGTTATACAAGAGGTCCAGTCGAAGGAGGCAATAGGCCAATCGAAGAGCAACACTAGAGAGCATTCAAAGGAGTCAAAATGTCCACATATATTCAAATTAAAAAAGGGGCAGGTTTCCATGACTTTTGCAACGTTACAAAACTTCATTCATGGCCTTGAAAACATTTGTTTATGGCAGTTTAAACTATTATCTTCTTGTCCCCTACCTTATACTCTATATAAGCAGTGTGCTTGCAAGCCAAATGGACATTTACACACACATTGGAGATACGCTTTCCCATAAACCCACCAAAGTTATCAAAAAATCTCATAAGTGATCCAAATCAAAGCAACCCTTAAACAAAGGTACCCACATCCAGAAGCCAAATTGAAGCAATCATCAAACAGGGGTACCCACACCCATCATCATATATTCATCCATCAACCATTGGTAAGAATTGGTAAAAAGATCAATCTCTACATTTTCATGACATATCAACATTTTTAGTTTCATTCGATTTATTGTTCAAGACTAAAGACCTGGGTTCGACCCCAGGTATGCCTTTGTTTTGCTTCTAA